ATTTCAAAAATTCTTCAAAAACTCTTATATCTCAAAGACTTATGGTCATATGTGGAAGATTATTAATCAAAACTAAGAATTAAGGATTAATATTAACTAAATTTTCTCAGGAGTTTCTAAAGATTTCATTTTTGAATTGACTGTTCCAAAATCTGAGATTAAAGATTTATAAGATTTTGAAAGAAATTTAGAGATAATAAATGTTTAATTGACTGCACGCCCTGTTGATTCAATGTTACAAACATTAAAAGAGAGTAAATTAGTTTTGACTCTGTTTACAGATAATGAATAAGTAGCATAAGATTCAGAAATTAACGATAACGTTGAATTTAACTACATCAGAGTAAAGGCAGCTTAAGCTATAGAAGAAGCCATCAAATATGCTGATCAAAACCAATACAATCAAGGACAACATGTATTATCAGATATGTTAAAATAGATAGAGAAATCTCACCCTAAAAACTAGGCTAAGCTCTAAGTTCTTAAAGACGATTTAGTTTAATGTTAATAAAACGTGCAACCTTAAGTGTACTAAATTCAAGGTAAGCTCTAAGCATAGTAACAATGTGTTAGTCATTATAACTAATAATCATAGGCAGTAAGATTGAATGATATGTATTAAATACCTCTTTAAAAATAAATGGTTTAATAATAATAATAGTAAAAGTAATAATAAATTTGGAATAAACCTTAATAGTTGCCTTAATAATTAATCCAGTTATAAAAAAACCCACAATAACAAATCTAGTAATAATAACAGTACTAGTAGTAATAATAACAGCAGTAGTAGTAGTAGTAATAATAATAACATTAGCGGGACTGGCTTTTAAAGACATAAATATTAATAATTCAGAAAATTGACTTAAATAACGAGATAGATCATTCATGATTAATTCTTATAAATTTTGAGCTCTATTCAAAAATATATAAAATATGATACATTCCATTTTAATATCTGAATCCACCATCTTTTTAATAGCAGTTTTTAAAATAAAAATTTAATAAATATTTCAAAATTATTATATTTTGTTAATTATTTAAATTTATATTTAATTTTAATTATAAAACTAAACTGTTGACTTTTGTATTAAATTACTCTTTTATAATGAAAATAATTAATTCAAAAGGAATTGATTATACTTTTTTATATTGGAAATGATAGTTCTATAAAACTGTAAATATTACCTGAATTCTAAGCAAATTAAAAACTTAACTAAAAATAGAAATGAATTAAGATTGTAAAAATAATTAATGTCTTTTTTGTTCTAAAAAAGG